TATCATAAATGGTATTAATTCAGAACTCTCTATCTATGAATATTATAATTCATTTTGTTTCTTTATATGGTCCTTTCCACGGCCGATGCTTTCAACTCGGTGAGTCCCCCTAGTGTCCAACTTCAAAGGATGACGCCGCACGGGCGGGCGAAGTCAAGTTATGCTCTTACGTGCGCCTCCAAAGTCAAACCGACTGGGTCCCGCTTCTGGAGTTTTAAGTCCCGCACAGGGAGCTAAGCACAGCCGTGCCGTCTACCTCACTGACTGTGACGCGACCACCACCACGTGGGAAACCGCCCCGCGCCGTCCCTCCGCCCACGGCTGATCTAACGGCGCCCAACCGATGCTCTCCACGCTTCCTCCACCACATCTCTCATGCTGACGCACGAGTGACGTCTCTCTCTCTCTCTCCCCATCTTCTCCCTTCTCTCTCTCGTGACTTGCAGTAGCCAAAGATTAGACAGGAGACACGCACTGTTGTCCCTCGTTTTTGTTCCCTTCACAACCCTTGAAAAGCACAGAGTCCCTCTCCTTCTCCACATCCTTACCTCATTCCCTTCCTCCTCCCAATGGACAGACCAGTGCAAGAGACGATGCTTTTGTGCTTAGCGGACGACACGGAATCGACAAACCCGATCAAAGAGGTGGATTTCTTCTCCCAGAACCGACGGCAAGATGTCGCCGAAGGCCGTCAAGGAGACGCGGAAGACTCGCCGGCTCATGGAGCCACCTACGTTCACGTAAGTCATCACAACGTTGGTTTCTCCATCTCTATATCTCATCTTGAGTAGACCTGCGATGAGTGTCTCTTTGCTGCTGTGCAGACTGGGTTAGATCTTCTGACAGTGAATTCTCAGGCCAGCAAAGAGGAGAAGAAACCCAAAAACAAGGTGAGTTGTTATAGCTTTCTTGGTTGGATGTGATAGATCCATAGGGTTGGGACAACCCAATTAACTCTTTTGGATCCATAGAACAAGATCGTTCTTCTAATCCTAGTGGAATTTGGATCTTCTCTTTTGTTGTCTGGAGTTGCAGTTAACTACGCTTCGGATCGAGCTAATCCGAGTACGCGACGAGAACCGGAGACTAAGAAGCATGATGGATCAGCTCACGCAAAGTTACACTGCCCTGCAGTGTCAGCTTCTTCAAGTAATGCGACAACGAGAACACGAGATCCGCCATACACAGGTCCTTTTCTTGTCATCATCCCCTGCTTTTGATGCTTATATTCTCTTCTTTTCTTGTCATACTCGTGTGTTTGATCATATGTAGTCTATGTCCTTCGATGACATGTGGTTCTTCTCATAGGTTGGCAAGATGTGTGTGTCCGTGCCAGAAGGAGAATCATCAGCACACCAATTTATGCAACCTCATCCAACTCGCATGTGGTCGATCAATGGAAACTCCAAGGACGACGACGACGACAGGGAACACTCATCTTCGCTCAACATAAGCTCTAACGATCACAGCATCATTCCTTCTGCAGAAAGAGTCGATGTTTTCTCGGAGGGTAACAATGGCCCCATGCCAATGCAAGAATCAAGCTGCGCTGATACGTCATCTGATCTCCCACGCCGGAGAGCAAGAGTCTCGGTGCGTGCTCGATCGAATGCACGAATGGTAATACAACGCTCCGTAGTTTCTGCATCAATTGCTGCTGCTGCTGCTGCACGATTACAGTGAGAACTGTGGCTATGTAGAACTAATCAGAAGCTTGTTGTGGTTTCCAGATCGGTGATGGGTGTCAATGGAGGAAGTATGGTCAGAAGATGGCCAAGGGAAATCCCTGTCCACGGGCCTACTATCGCTGTACTATGGCCATCGGATGCCCAGTTAGAAAGCAGGTAGAGCAATCGAATCTGAGTTCAACATGTGCAATGTGAAGAACTGTCAAATCTTTACTTGGCTACGAGGTTGTCATGATCTCACATAGATCGAATGGTGCGATAGGTGCAGAGATGTGCAGAGGACAAGACACTGCTCGTAGCCACCTACGAAGGCAACCACAACCATCCCCTCCCGCCCGCCGCCAAAGCGTTGGCGAGCACCACGTCGGCGGCCGCGGCCATGCTGCTCTCCGGCTCCACCGGCAGCGGGGGCTTTCTGCAGTCCGCGTTCCCCACCGTCGCCCTCGACCTGACGCAGTCCGTGAACCCGCTCCAGCAGCTGCCGCAGGCGCACCCTGCGGCCGTGCCGCTCGCCATGCCTCTCTTCATGCACCGCCACCCGCAGAAGCCGCCGCAGGCGTTGCAGTTGGGTCTGCAGCGCGGCGCGATGGTCGACACTGTGACCGCTGCCATCACGACTGATCCAAATTTCGCCGCAGCCTTGGCCGCCGCTGTCACGTCCATCATGGGATCGGCTCCGGCAAGTGCAGCCGGTGCCTCTTCTGGGCCTCACGTCGTGCCGGGATCTCCTCAGCTTCCCAAGTCCTGCACCACCTTCTCTACTAATTAGAGGTTCCCTATTGTCATCTACAGCTCAATGCAAGTCCAGTGGACTTATCAGTGTTCATTCAACAGAGTCAGACCATACTTTTAGACAAGGAAAAAGGAACAATATAAACAGATATCCATCAATCTATATACTACATAGACATCAATTTATATACACTGATACCAAATATTATAACCTGGGCCTAATAGATTTAATTGACCCATCAATTTTGTTTGAATTAAATCATTAACTAAAATATTTAAATTAAAATTAATAAAAGTATATTTATTAGATCTTCATAAATCAATCTTAATTTTTCTCCAAGTAGAAGGAACAGCAAATTTGGCTGAATCTCAAGTGAATGCACAAAGTTTGCAGTGACATTCCACAACTGTACAGTTTTAATGTGAATGCCAAAGACAAATTAGAATATGACAATACTACACTGCAAGAATCAACTCTTTGTTCTTAGAGGCAGCTGTGGGCAGGTGTTTTTGACCCATCTGATCAAGCTGGAATCATGAAATCTGGTTAGTTCCACAATGAATACAAGCTGCATCCTGTTCTTTAATTCTTGGTTAAAGGGTACCCAAAGTTGAAACTTTCAAGCACTGCCTACAACCACAAGCACCAGAGGCAGGCAGGTGTTTGGATTACTCACTTTTCTTTCAATCTATTCTTTTCTCAAGGAGTTTAGAGATCAATAATTCCAAGAATTACATATTGGAGCAGAATACTTATGAAAAATAATAACAAGATATTGAAATATGATAAGAAAAATATTTATAAAGTATTTTTCTTAGTTAGCTTACTATAAAAGATTATCTTAGACATAATAATTGAGATTAATTACTATTTAGTAAAATTATTTTATCATTGTTAAAAATTATTTGGAATGTTGGAGGAACGATTTCGTTATTCATATAGGTCGACCATGGAGAACACATCCAAATCTATCTTAATATCTAAATCTTGACATCAGATTTCTTGCGTATACGACTTTCAATCTGAATCAAATTAATTCGGACAATATCGGTATCCATCACATCATAACAAAACTTATATTCAAATTTTTAATCTCTCCCAATTTCATTTATCAGGTTTTGCCCCCTCAAATGGACCTCACAAAATAAAAGCACCGAAAGGAGATGAGTCATCATTCATTTTTGTTGTGTCTTGATTCTCTAACTCTTCCTTTGTTAGTATAGTATTTCCTTCCTTGTAATTAATGTTTATAGTAGTGTTGGCATTGTTGCTAAGCTTGGTCATTGATGAACATTAGTCGGAGAGAACAACAATGATGCCAACTCTATGATCCGTGAATGTTTGTCCAATCTAGAATCGGTCCTACTCTTACAAAGTAGACCCAAAAAATATCCTTTGAGTCATTTTCATCAACTCTACTATTGATCATATAGTATCTGGTTCATATGTATTAATCCTTTTGAGTCATTTTCACTTTGTTCTTTTTTACCTACCATATATTATGATTATTGATCGATTAAAATCGAATTGTGATCAGACAAACTCATAATCAGAATGTTTCTTACAAAAAAAATTCAATTTTGGTGGTATCAAGAAGTTTATGCAGCAGATATAAGATGTTGACAATTATCTCATAGGAATAGAGTCCATGTTGCTGATTTGCAAGGATGCTGTTCATCATCCTGAGCATTTTCTGAGGTGAGAGGTGGCACCACTGAGTTGATGCCCATCCACAAGCTGCAATCAGGCAACTTGCTTCAGTAGATCCTTAGGCAATTTGGTCATTTGATGCCTCTTTTAATGATGCTTTTGCTGTTCATGGTGGGCAACTCTGTTCTTGGCCAGGACTGAGTACCAGTGGGTGGATAAGGTTCTCCACACTTGTGATTTCTTTTCTGCTATCAGTGTTAGATCCCTTGTGATGATATGATACTTGACAAGAGAAGTGCTTTTGCAACATCAAGTCAAAACATTTAGACACTAAAAATTGAATGATATTTCAGATGAAGCATCTCCCATTCTCATTCTATCCAAAATGCACTCTCTCTTTTTTCCTCTGTTAATATTTCATCTTAGCTTTGTGGGCCAAAATTGACTTATCTCAATCTTACATCCCTAAATATGACAAACAAACATATCTATTTTAATTATACATATTATTTACTTATTTTGAATGTCTTTTGGATTTATAAGAGTCATTTTTCATAGGTAAGCTATCATTTGACTCGCATACTTGAACTCTCAAATAAGTGAATATTGAAGACAAAATCTAAAGCTTTCTTAGATGCAATAATTTTCCTCATCACTTATAACTGGATGAATAGTAGATTCATAATTATGTATTTGATTTTTTTTCAAACATAAATTAATTCCATATGACTTCCTATCACACTATAAAATATCTTAACATAAAAAATATATTATTTATCAATCATCTGGATTATTGTTTTTAATTTAAATTAATCTTTTTAATGTTATCATCGAACGATCAACTCCTCAGAATTCATCAAATGAGTTTTGTCGGACACGCCTTATTCTATTATATATATATATAACATAATTCTGTCATGGATGAGTAGCGAAACTCGAATCGGGGATACCCGATGGCGGAGTCCCGTCACCGCCACTTGCATCCTTTCTCTTCGTCTTCCCCGCCCAAACCCTAACCCTTATCGGTGTCGATCAGATCTCATCGAAGGTGCCAGTCCCATGGATCGCCGCCACCGCGACGACAGCGCCGACAACGGCGGTGACGCCAATGGCCAGCGGGAGAAGCGGCCCCGGCCCGCCCCTCGTGCCATCTCCGCCGCCGAGATCGCAGAGGAGTTTGCCCACCACGACTCCTCGGTCGCCCGCATCAATAACGGCAGCTTCGGTAGCTGCCCGGCCTCCGTCCTCGCGGCGCAGCGTTCGTGGCAGCTGCAATTCCTCCGTCAGCCCGATGAGTTCTACTTCAACCGCCTCCAGCCTGGGCTTTTCCACTCCCGCGCCCTCGTCAAGGAGATCATCAACGCTGCCGACGTCGATGAGGTTGCCCTCGTCGATAACGCCACCACCGCTGCCGCCATCGTCCTGCAGCACGCCTCCTGGGCCTTTGCCGAGGGCGCCTTCCGCAAGGGCGACGCCGTCGTCATGCTCCACTACGCCTACGGCGCTGTCAAGAAGTCCATCCATGCCTACGTGGCTCGCGCCGGAGGTCACGTCATCGAGGTCCCCCTCCCCTTTCCGGTCTCCTCCAACGAGGAGATTGTCCGCGAGTTCCGAAAGACTCTGGAGCTCGGGAAGGCCAACGGCCGGCGGGTCCGGCTTGCCGTGATCGACCACGTCACCTCCATGCCTAGCGTCGTGATCCCCGTCAAGGAACTCACGAGAATCTGTCGCGAGGAGGGCGTGGATCAGGTGTTCGTGGATGCCGCCCATGCCATCGGCAGTGTAGAGGTCGATGTGCAGGATATTGGGGCCGATTTCTACACGAGTAATCTCCACAAATGGTTCTTTTGTCCCCCGTCCGTCGCCTTCTTGTACACCAACAAGTCTTCTGCCTCCTCTTGTTTGCACCATCCGGTGGTGTCCCATGAGTATGGCAATGGCCTTCCTCTGGAGAGCGGATGGATCGGTACCAGGGATTACAGCTCCCAGCTTGTAGTGCCCTCGGTTATGGAATTCATCGGTAGGTTTGAGGGTGGGATTGAAGGGATCCGAAAGCGGAACCACGAGAAGGTTGTAGAGATGGGCAAGATGTTAGCCGAGGCATGGGGGACGTTTCTTGGGTCTCCCCCGGAGATGTGCTGCAGCATGATCATGGTTGGATTGCCTGGTTGTTTAAGGGTCTCTAGTGAGAAAGATGCGATGAAGCTGAGGAGCTTCTTGCGAGAGAAATTCAAGGTCGAAGTTCCAATTTACTATCAGCCGCCCAAGGATGGGGAGGTCCTTGAGAAGGACGGGAACAATTGTGTCACTGGTTATGTACGGATTTCTCATACTGTGTACAATGCTGAGGGTGACTACCACAGACTTAGAGATGCCGTTCACAATCTGGTAGCTGATGGATACAACTGTGATATGCTTTCATCCAAATGAGAAGGTGCAGCAACTCCAACTATCAGTATAACTTCACATTAGTTGTCATTGACGTATGACATGGATTTCGTCTGTCACATAATAATTTATGTAGCATGCGTTGTACTTCAAACAGTTGGTCTACATTGCTCCAAGCCATGCTAGCATTAGCTTTCATCGATTGCTCCAGTGTCAAGGGGAAATGCTTTGCTTTTGACATTGAGAATTATGATATAAGCCGGTCTACCTCGTCTAAATTGCAAAGATGCTGTGCTTTTTCATGTGGAACACAGCAATTGTGTCTTAGGATAACGGTATTTGGATTGGCCATAAGCATGTTTCCAGAAATCTCACTTTTCAGGACTTCGGATATTTTACGGATATACAATAACACAATCTTGATTTATTTGACTTGAACTTTGTTGAGTAAAATTTGTGGTTAAAGCCTGAGGTGCAACCATTTTACCACATGGTTAAAGCCTGAGGTGCAATCATGACTGAATTTGCCATATTCCAAGTAACCCATGTCTATATATTTGTAGTAGATCAATCCAATTATACAATGATTCTAGTTTGATTGTTATCATGTAATCTCTATTATCTATGTCTCTCTATTCACCTGTCTCAAATAGCAGTTTGTGGTAGTCGATGCGGCATATAATGATGATTGATGAATCAAGAGAGAAATTTAGATGGATTTCTTTGTCATGATTTCTCTGTGAGTAGACTCTTATTGTTGTATATCATTTCATTATAGTGAGCTGGACAATATGGTAAGCCAGTAAACCGTCTCAGGGGCACCTGGACTGTGGCAAGGCCTAAGAAACTCCGTTTTGTCCATAATAATGCTTGATTAGGAGGAAATGACACATAACATGCGTCAAATGAGATCATAACTTAGTGAAAACTGCAAGCTATAATGTCCTGACTACTTGGGACTGGCCGTGTGAGGCTTTTTCCATCATTGAACTTTGTATGAAGTAATATCCTTAGTTAAATTAAAAATATGTAAATCTTTTATTTGTAATTTCTAATAAAGTCTTCTTAAGATTTCCTCTACCTCTCAGAAAACTAAGCTCATATATTATCAAAGGAATTTCGTATTGGTATATCTTGTCAATTCTTTTGGTGCAAGGTCTTTGTGATGCGTAATTAGTTAACTGATGGTTCTTGTTCTTGTTATAATGTTTATTGTTTGTATGGTATAAATAGGTGTGATTTTCATCTGAAAGTTGCTTTGGAATGCATTCCTATGATTATGTGGACCTTTTGTTGTTGAATTTGAGGCATCTTATGCAACAGAGTTCGGAAGGCATATCTTGTGATTTTGTAAACTGAAGAAAACATGATCAAATTAGCATATGTGGTATTTTAGTATAGTTATACTGATTATGGGGGCTGTGCATCTTTTGTAATGAATATAAAAAATCAAAGTGGAGGAAACTTCAGCTTTTTGCAAAATTTTGTAAACCAAAAAGTATAAGGCTTCTAACTTTTGATCAGTGGATGATAAGGGACAATTTGTCCCCTAGACCAATGTCTGAAAGAAATATGAAATGCCGCATTGTTTCCATTCATCTTTATTGGTTACTTGGTATATTGGTGCTCTTGTAGAAATGACTTCTTTGAAATATCTTTAATCGTAATATTTGTTCTGCTATTTTTTTCTGGATAGCAATAGTTGTGCAACCACAAAAGTTATGACAGAACTGCAGCATTGTTGGCTTTGAACATATTCAATAATTTAATGACAATTGTCGGTCACTTGCTATGGCCCTTTAGGCCTTGCCTTTTGCACAAGCTTATGAGGTGCATGTCTAAGTCATTCTCGTTGATATCTCTGAGCCTCAACAAGAAGAGGCTCAATATCCAAGTCATACCGTTGGATGCAAAACTTATTTTCCTTTTCTGTAATGCATCCGCTTCTTCCTGAAACCAGCTTAGAATATAGAGAATTGAGTGAGTTACAAAAGTTAATTTAGTTGTTGCATTTAAAAAGTAAATTTAGGTGTTGAATTGAACCAATTGGTCGTTGCATCTTTTGAACCGTTCAAATAGCAGCATAGTTACACATATAACATACTGTTTCACTGTTTCTTTAATACATGTATCTGACTTCTGTTTATTTGTTTAACATCCACGAATACATGGTATTTCCAGCACGAATGAGATTAATATTATCTTTTTGCTCTTCCTTTAATCGTACATATCTTTCTGTACCAGCATGTACATTTTGTCTTTCTGCCTATTTCCTTTAGTTAGTGTCAGAAAGAATGAGCAAATTTGAAGCATGTCCTAACATGGCTAGATTCATTAAAGTGCCATCCCCCTGCAAAGGACGTTATTGAGTTCATCTGATTTGCTATTTATCCATTTTCTCAGATATATATGTAATAAACGTAATTGAGTTCACAATACTATCATATTAGCTCCTAATTTGATGAACTACAAGCTTCCTTTGTCGTTACATTTTTGCACTTTTGTGTTGCATAAGGACTTTTTGTTTCTGGGAATAACTGCTAGGTAAATTGCTTGTTCTCGTCATAGAAAACTTGGAATTTGTTCACTTGTAAGTGGCTAATTGATAGTTATTCTTGGTTTTCTGTGAGCTTCTCCAGTCAAATGGTTTTTTGGATTGATTATTCACATTTGTTCTTGGGAAGAACTGTACATAATAGTGTTTTTTTTTAATATTTTGGAGAGAGAAGATCGTTTGTAGTGATATTACTTCTCAGATATAACTTGTTTGAGGCTTCTAGGTGGCAATATATATGACAGGCACCTCTCTGTCCTACTTTTGTGTTCTTGGGAATCTTTTAGTAAGATTTAACATACCACCATTATAAAATTGCTGGTAATATAGCATGCTTTATGACAACACCATGTTCTTGTAGTTGACTCTGGATTCATGCTAGTCAAATAAGCAAAGGTTTTGGGTGCCTTAGGGAAGGATCTTAGTTGAAGGATTTGGTTGTACATAAGTAAAAACTTCTTTCAGAGAAAAAGAAACCTCTTATTCTGTTGTGTTTAGTTGACATCAGTCCTTTTGGTTCTTTCATCTTCCACTCATACATCATATGCATTTCTGTGTTCCTTTCTGATTCAAAAAGCAGAAAGTGCGGGTAAAAGTTCTATATCTGTGGCCATATTTTTTAGGCAGGATCAATATTGAATTCAGACTTTTGGAGGAATCATTCCGTTATTTTATGGTGACTCACCAGCCTCTTGTTTCTCTAGAAGTTGGTATAAGTCTATAGGCAGTCTGCAGAGAGGATGATGACATCAAAATCCCAGGAGGATCTAGTAGAGTGTTGGGCAAATAGTATCTGTTTGATTGGAGGAACTTATGACCTGGCTTGATTTCATCTTGTACAGGAAGCTTGGTAGCTGGAGGTTGGAGTTAAATCCGGTAAACTCTTTCACAATCTCTCATTTGCTCTGAAGAACTATTTTGACACCAGGAGTTAAATCTGCTTCAGGCCATCACATATGCAAAGCTACATGGATGTTGGCTTTTACTGCAGTACTTTTTGATGCAAAAACAATGTCAATTTAGTTACACTTCATGATCTTGAAATTGTCACTGGACATGTTCTTTGAAATGTTTTCTTTATGGCATCAATGAGTCTGGTTCTTGAACTAACCGCAACTGAAAAAAAGAATGCAATATGCCCATTCTTTTGTACTGTCTCAAATAAGGTCTGTCGTATCGAAGTGTACCGCTCATATCGGGTGGTACGTACCGGTTCGATAGATTATCGGTACGTGGACCGCTCGATATCGTTACAGTATTATATTGTAGTATTGCTACAGTATAAAAGTAAAAAAAATATTCGGTATACCAAGGCGTATCACTCGGTATGTCCTGATATATCGCTCGGTACAGCGAACCTTGGTCTTAAAGTTGAAAGAGAAGATTAGGTTTCTTTTTGAAAAGGAAAGGTGACCAAGAGAAGATTAGGTTTCTTTTTGAAAAGGAAAGGTGACCTAAAGTCTCAGCTTGTGAGATCTGTGAGTCTGTTTGTTGACTGTTTGTGCTCCCAGTTCTGCCTCAACTGTCTTTACATTTTTTATGTGGTTTTCACTGATATCAGAAATCTTCTTTTTCACAAGATTTATGTCATTAGCTAATTATATATTATCATTTGTATTTGAATCATATTAGATCGTTATAGTTTTAAAAATGAAACAAACAATCTCGTCGATCATGATGTCATCAACTGAATTGATGAAAAAGTGTCGTCAACTGAATTGATGGAAAACAGATTGATGTGAAAGTGATGAATAAAAAAAATAATTTTATTTTTATTTTTAATAATTTTATTAATAAAATTATAATTTTAAATTTTAAAAATATTTTTTGGTCGTTATTTTTATATCAATTCATGTGATTATAACCAATGATATTAGGATAAATAAAGTTATAGAAATCGTAATGCTAATAGATTTCGTGATGTTAAAAGTTCGTTGAATTTTACGATCAAGCCCAAAGAAGAGGGGTTTACAAAGTTAAAAATTGGCAATTTTACATATATAAATTATAAATTTATGTATATATATAATTCAAGTAATAAAAACATTAGAATTAAAAAAAATCGGGTTAACCACTTTTAGATCAGGTCAGCTTTAGTTAAATTCCAGTTAAAATTCTGTTAATATAAGAATAAAAATCTTCTTATTTAATAACATATATAAATCATATAATATATATATTTCGAAGTGTATCATTGCCAATTAGACTTTCAACAAATAGTGCAATAACAACTAACTAAATATAGTGGTTTAGAATGCTAAATTTAGATTAAGAACGATGAATATAGAGATCACCGAAATTGGATGTCTATATATACACACACACACAAAATTCTGTTTTGACGTTCTTCCGCTCCTTCGTTCGCCCTCTTCCTTACTCGTTCGTTTGGAAGGAAGCCCTCGATCGAGTAACGGCGCCAAAGATCCACTCTTCTCCCTCCCCCTCCTCCCTCCCGATCCAAACCCGTAGGATCCGATACCATGGCTGCCGCCCAGCCGGAGAACTCGGAGGCGCCCAGCTCATCGCCGTCGCCTAGGGTCGCGAAGCCGAACGGCAACGCCACTACCGAGATCTCCTCCGTCCACGACGGTGAGCCCTCCGACCGCAAGGAGGTTGATGCTCTGGTAAATTGCATTGTTCCGATGTTTCTTGGTTCGGATGTAAATGGGTTTAGGGATGCCGGTTCTTTATCTCGATTGTGTTGGTAGACACAGGCCCTCTCGACGAGGAGCGAAGAGTACCGCTTGCTGTTCCGTCTTCCTCCTGATGAGGTGGGCGGGTTTCGAGTACTTATCCTGACGGAACATCGTAATCCTTGTGCTAGTTTGAATAATGGACTGTTGTCTGAGGCAGTCTGTTGTCTTCTTGCCCTTTGAAGGTTTGCTTTCGCGTGGATCACTTGTTAGGGTGACGTTTTCTCTCCCATAGATAAATAACAGTGGACTAGATGATGAATTTCTGCACGAACAAGCATTTATACCAGTACTGCTAGGTGCACTTGTATCCGAGAAAATTAAGATTTAATTTAGAGTTCACTAGGAGTCTTGTTATTCTTTTCTTTTCGTAGTAAATACATTCTTATATTTATAGGTGATGCAGAGTACATAATTGATTTTTTTTAAAAAATGAAATATATTTCCATTATATTAAATGGCATGCATGATCCTCACACGAGGATTGGAATCTAAAATTTATCACTTGTGTAACAATGCACTAATCAGCTCGGATGTCTCAATAGAGACAGTACATAATTGATATGATCATTAGGATGGTACAGGTTAAACTTTCTGTTTTAGACGTTCAAATTTTTCCTTGAAGTTCTAACCAAAGACTTTGATAAACTACTGCTAGGACCTTGTTGTATTTTATGCTTGAAGGTTTGAATATGAGTCTGTTCACAACTTTCTCTTGAGTTGAACTGTAAGAAATATGACTAGCTGTCTTCTTTTGTCTTACTGACTTTGATGTGTCACTTGGAATCATTAAATTGTGTATACAGAGGCTGATTTATGCCCTTTCTCGTGGAGGAGGTGCTGTCTTTTCCCTGTGAAGACATCTTCAGTCTCTTATCTCTCGAAGTCTAATCCTTTTATTCTGTAATAAAGCTTAATGTCTAAAATACGTGCACATACTACAGTTTTTTTTTAAATTTCTGATGTAGTGCTTATGGGATTGTTTATTATGTAACTTCCCTTGCAACCATCCTTTATTATTGTATATTTGTAATGGATGGTAGGTGCTTTTATGTTTTCTTTTCCCTTTGGAAGTCTAGCAAGATATTCTGATATGTTATTATTTGGGACAAAGTTTAAATGGTTTAAATAAGATGTCATGGCATTCCAGATCTTGTATGTGCTTCTAATCACTTTTCTTAGTCCATGAAACACACTTTATCACCCCACTTCTGTTTTTCAGGTTTATGCTATTTCTGAATATTGCATTCTTAATTTTTTACATTATATACGTAGGTTCTTCTTCAAGATTTTAACTGTGCCCTCCAAGAAAATATTTTTCTTCAGGTATTTCTGCTATTCATTTGCTTTCTGTCATACTGAATTATGTGATTACCAAATGACTTAATCCTTTTCATTTTCTTTCATTGATTTATTTGAGATTGTCAGGTTCAAATGCCACCATTTTGCTCATGATGGTAACAAATGTTAGGTTTGTAGTAATTTGTTGATCTTCTTGGGTTTCACTGCAGGGTCATATGTATTTGTTTACCCACCACATCTGCTTTTATTCCAACATTTTTGGATTTGAGACAAAGGTACAAATTGAAGAGGGCTGCCCATTTAGATGTAACTTGAACTTTAGTTTGTTTTGCGTGCAACTTGAGATGATTCCTGTTTACTTTCATTTGAAATATATAATGTGCCACTCTTTTGGTATACATCTATTTTAGGGTCCTTTTTCATCATAAAAGCTATGCTCATATCTTGGATTTCTCAAATTTGCTTGAGCTCCTGCCATTGGTTCACATATAATGTTAGGTAGTCTTTACTACATAGATTGATAATCAGATACTTGACTTTTACTGTCTTGTTCGATTTTTTGTTAACATAACGGCATTATTCTTAGCAAGATTGAGAAACTCGGCATAGTGCCAATATGGGTCAGTGGCAGGACTGGTATGGTTTTGGTATGGATCAGTATAAAGAAGGTGAGAAGAGAGGAGTAGGAACAGTAGGAGGAAGAGAGTTGGATACAAGGAGAAGGCGGAGATGGAAGATGAGGAGGGGAGAAGGTGATGACCCTAACTGAAGGAGGAGGCAGCACCCATGGAAGGAGGTGAATCTGAGGTGGCAGAATGGGGAGGGAGAGAGGGAGGAGGTAAACAGACGGCAAACAATTGTTTACAGCTGTCTGCAACAGTAAATTGACAGCTGTTGCCAGTTCTATACTGATCGCTGCTTACATTTACAGCAGCTTACATGGAGATAGACTGCTGTTGATCAGTTGACCCTTTTTAAAAAATAAAAAAATATAGAATTACAAAAATCAGTACATGCATGTATACTGATCATAGTTTGACTGGTAAATGTGAAACAAGGAAAGGTCTGACTGGGCAAAATCACCTGGCTCACTTTCTGGTCCCCTGTTGGACCTGTAATTGTCGGGCTATAGTGAGTGGTCACCTGGTATCTAAAACCTTGATTCTTACAGTCACTTTCTGCTTGCTTTCAGTGTCTGACTGAATTGGTCGATAAGTTTCTCCTAATTGAAGCCTTTTGGCTTATCTTTATGTGCTGATTCTCTATATCTGTGGTCAGTAGTCTTATTGAGCATTTTTAACAACATAATGTTCTAATTTCTTTGTTGCTTAAACCTTGATCTCATGTCTAGTATCATTGTATGGGAACAGACACTTAGGAGTTGTCTTTTGGGTTTGGTGGTAAATTGGGTACACTATGCCATATGCCATGTCTAATTTGGGACTATTCGGATTATCAAAATTGATGTTTCTTTATGAGGCATGCGTTACCTATCAATTTCAACTGAAATAATATACAATTGCATGACAGCAAATTTTACATTATGAGTGTATGATATGCAACGATTAACACCATTGTGTCTCTAGAAGTTACCATTAGGGTTATGTTACAAGTATTTCTATGGCACAGACTTGGCCGCAACTTTTGTTATCTGTTAATATTAACCATATTTTGGTTCCATATGTTGGCTTTTTGCTATGCCTTAACAGTTTCAAGGTATCCTGTAATTTTAACATCAAGTACATCAGTATTTGTTCCTTTGCTCTTTATTTGGTAGAGGTCTAATGTGGCAAATAGTCATGTGGATAACCTTATTACCTGTCTTCACCCATTTTGATCAGTCATAATGTATCCACACACATATTAATGCCTTTTGCTCTATAAGTCAATAATCAGCTAGCAGTCCATTCTACTACATTAATATGGTTTTTTGATACGTTAATATGGTTTTGTTGTACAGAAAATAATTCTTTTTCATGAGATAACTTGTGTTCGTAAAGCAAAGACAGTTGCAATCTTTCCTAATATGGTTTTTTGATACGTTAATATGGTTTTGTTGTACAGAAAATAATTCTTTTTCATGAGATAACTTGTGTTCGTAAAGCAAAGACAGTTGCAATCTTTCCTAATGCTATCGAAATCATTGCAGGAGGGAAAAAGGTAATAATTTGGCTTAGCCAGTTTTTCTCTCTCATTAATTTTTTATATTTGTGCATAGCCTTATGAGTTTGTCCGTTAGTTTTTGTTTGTGCTATTAAATTTTGTTGGTTACCCAAAGCCCAGAAGCAGTGGCCACTTTGGTTTTTGTTTTTGTTGTTATTTCCTGTAAAGTTTCTTGTTTATTGAATTCTTAACTGGCAGTACTTCTTTGGATCTTTCTTGTCCCGGGATGATGCATATCGGCTAATTATTGATGGCTGGGTGCAATATGGTGGAGGCACAAAAGCTTTCCAGGATTCTCAGGTCAGCATTTTATTTTCTGATTTATTGATTGTATTTATTATGCTCATTGAAATTTTGGTTAATACTTCCAAAGCAATATACCCTAGTTTTTTTTATTATGACAAGTTGCCTCATTTTTATTAAATAGTAGTATCAAATTTGGCAATGTTTGATGGCTTCAGCACAATTTTATGCTATACATATATATACATATACATATATATATATATATATTTATATATACATATACATACATACATACATATATATATACATGTATATATATACATATATATATATATAAATGTATATATACATATATATATATATACATATATATGTATATATACATATACATATATACATATATATACATNTACATATATACCATATACATATATA